GTGTTAATCAGTCTACCGGCTGTAATATTTTGCCAGTAGTCATTACTTTAAAAAATGTTCTGAACTGTATTGTGAAATCAATGCAGATTAGGTCAACAAATTAAAAACATATCTAAATTTAAAGTGTGGAATGAATATCTGAATAATCTGACATAACTAGAAGGCAAGGCAAGGCAAGGCAAGGCAAGTTTATTTATATAGCACATTTCATACACAATGGTAATTCAAAGTGCTTTACATAGAAGAAATAAAATAATCATAAGAAATAACAATAATTAAAACAGAATAGTGTAAAATAGTGTTAAAAGTGTAATTAGTGACTTTAAGTCTCCCATCAAATGCTGCAACTGTATTATGTAACAGCAAAAACACGTTCTGTGTGAACCGGCCCTAAGAAATATTTGTAAAAGTACGTCACAATGTACTGTTAATATGAAGGAATTTTCTGTATTGTTTTTTTTTTCCACATGAATTTTACCTGTATATTGAATTAGTAATTTCATTGTGTTTTGTTTTAGAGTTGAAGGACATGCCTGAATGCCAGTTAATGGACAAGGTACTGGTCATTTTCTGCCAGGACATTATATGTTTGTTTTTTTCTTACAGTGTATTAAAAATTGTTTTCGTTATGTGAAAAAAGGCTGAAATAAAATATAATTATTAGATGAAGATCTTAAAACTTACAAAACATAGAAATGTTGTCTAAGGCAAGCAAATTTAAATAAAATAGATTTAATTTGAATTAAATTATTTAAACAAACAAAAAAAGAGAAATATAAATAAATTATAGCTAAACAAAAATATTTTTAAAAAAATGACAAAAGCACATAACAAAATTACTAAAACTAAAATGAAAACGTGAAAAAAATAAGAGCTAATTCAAAATATTAATCAAAATAATAAAATCTTAATTTTAAACAATACTAAAATAACCCCTGCAGCAGTGCATTCTGGGAATTCCAGCACAATATTCTCATAGATAGTTAATCTATAAATACAGTATACAAGAGATTGCTGTACTACAGTACACACACATACAACATCACAGTCACGTCCTGTTTACTGTGAGGTCACAGTAGGGCAGTCAGGTCTGACTGTTAACCCAAAGGTTACTGGTTGGATTCCAGTACCGGCAGGAAATGACTGAGGTGCCCTTGAGCTAGGCACCTAACCCCTAATCACTCCCCGGGCGCCAGAGCATAATGTTTGCCCACTGCTCCAGGTGTGTATCACGGTTTGCAGTGTGTCTGTGTGCTCACTACTAACTACTCCTAATGTGTGCATTAACTTGGATGGGTTAAACGCAGAGGACAAATTCCGAGTATGGGTTGCCATACTTGGCCTTCACGTCACTTTCACTTCACTTTCGCAGGATACGGTCGTGGTAGTAATAAATTATAGAACTACTACTGTAAAAATGAGTGAAGTAATATGCAGTAAATTCACACTAAATGTTTTCCAGTGTAGTTCAGTTTCTGGTGTGATAGTAGCTTGTCTTTCACTGGGAAAGCTGCAGATCACTGAAATGAAAAGGAAGAGGTCTACAGAGGGAACATCTGCTCTTTACATAAATACATGACACATGCAGAAATATCAGATGCTTTCTGCACCAACATCTCACTAATGAGAGAATCTATTTTCCTCTCATTCTGCCCCCAAAACGCTACAGCCGGCTTCACAAACAATTTGTGCAGAGCCTTGTATAGTGAACACTGAGAGCCTCTCGACACACGTAAAATAAGCAGTAAACCACAACAGGCCATGCAATGATTTAATCATATTTTTTTAGGCATTGATAAAATGCAAAAGAAACATTTAATGCAAAATTAATCTTCGGCGTGAAGTTGAGATCAGACACGCCTTCACCAAAAATCAATCCCACCATTCGGCCCAACCGCAGACCCTCAGTCTGAAACATAATCCTTATGAGGAACAACCTTCAAACGTCTCAGCAAGCCTCCATTTCAAACAACTTCAACATCTGTGGCCTCTGATGGGGGACGATGGTAAGGTGAAGCTCAGTGGGAAACATAAACCCCAAACAGGAACCTACAACACATCCTGATGCTCCAATTTGTCGTTGAGTCTTGAAAGTCATCCAGGGCAATGTAATATTGCTACAAAAATTAACACAGCTCATGCATCTAAAATGAAACTTTAGATAGCACGAAATGGAAATTACAACTGACTTTACTACCATATTGTGCCATATTTCTGAGTGAAATGGCTAATTGAACATGAAATGGAACTTGATTTCAGTCCTCGGTTGTTAATTGGCTTGTGAAAAGAGAGTGTTGGATATTTGAACAGAGGGTGAACTGAATACGATTGACCGTAGTGCTGCCTCGCATACACTACCAATTAAGTTTGCGGTCAGTACCATTTTTTTAAAGAAATTAATATTTTTATGTAGTAAGGATGCATTAAATTGATCAAAATTGACAGTAAAGACATTTATATTTGAAATAGAAATATTACATTATTATGTTCTTTTGAACTTTCTTTTCAAAGAATCCTAAAAAAGATATATCAGTGTCCACAAAAATGTTAAGCTTTTCAGCATTAGCCAATATTCCACCGTCGGGCCGATCGTTCTTAGAATGGTAAGGAACGGTTACGGTAATTTCCACTTGAGCTTGGTTCGGCACGGCACTTTTACAAACCATTCTCAGCCCGGAAGTGTGCTGGTAGAATGTGTGTAGTGACGTCGCCACTCAGGATTGGTCACTTGTCTGATGCCAGTTTGTCTGAAGCTGGCCAAGCGTACTTTGAGAGAAGAACAAGTTTACGCAAGATAATAATAAACAACCATAAGGCGGTCACCATTTACATCTCATATCGTCTGTAAACTCTTGCGTTACTAAGGTAACGACTGACGCATTTGTATTACATTCCAAAGGGCTACGTTATCAACCCCACAGTGGAAAATGAAACCGGCCGGGCCAGTTCGGCACGGGAGAGAACGGTTAAGGAATAAGAACCGATGGTTTGGTTCGATGGTAAAAAAGCAGCTATTGATAATAAGCAATGATCTTGAGCAGCAAATCAATTTTGCTGAAAGATCATGTGACACTGAAGACTGGAGTAATGATGCTGAAAATTCAGCTTGAGCATCACAGGAATAAATTTCTTTTAAAATATATACAATTACAAAAGTTATTTTAAACTGCAATAATATTTATGTAACAATATCACTGTTTTTATTGTATTTTTTATCAAATAAATGCAGATTGCATGTAATGTACACCATTGGCATCGTGTGTGCATATCAGAGGAATAGCAAGTTATGACATTTTTAATTAAATAGGTATAAGGTAAAAACGCATATAAAAATGTACAAGTGTAAACTTCATAAAACTACTATGATGTAGATTTAGCTTCTTGTTTTTTAATATTGCAGAGTTTATCAAGTTCTGTTATATTACTGTACCTGTCTGCCATTTTGAATGATATCAGAAACAGTTTATTTGCTTTTCTCCTTCACCTAAACCTGAATGTCCAAAGATAATTTAATTCCCTATTTATCTCCAATAAACAACATAAATAAACAAACTTGATAGCAAATGTAACTGACGGTGTAGCTTTGATGTTGTATCTTGTCAATGCTTTACATCGTGAAAACATGCATTCAATGGAATCCATGGTCCCCGGTGCCTCAAATTAATCAAAAATCTGTAAAGTCAAATAAAAGCAAAACACTTGCTGCCATTCCAGTGTTTGACCCTGATAATTGCTGCTTGAAGCAATTACATTTCTTGTTATATTTTATTTTATAAAATGCATAAATTTGCACCTAGAATCTGGTTGATCAATTTGCAGCAATTCTTGCCATGCTAAAATACAGGACACAAAACACCTGTGCACTAATAGTAGACTATTACTATTACCCGTAGTTTACATTTCATCTTCTGGTGTAAACAGCGTTATATTGATCATCGACGACCCTATATCAACATTGGCTAAGGAAAAATATAAATTGGATGAGCATTTTTCCCAAATGTCCTACGACAAAAGTTTACTTCCACCCTGTGCACTTGAGCCATAAGCAGCCGCACTATGATAATGGTGTGTCTGCACTGAGATGGCGAGAGCTCATTACTGAGGAACGCCAACCTCAGGAGAAAGAAGGAACAAGACAGATGCTGCTTTAAAGGCATGATGCCGACCCTGGGCCGTAGCAGTCAGCTCCACTGGGGCTGACGCAAGGTAACCAGTGACAGCCCAAATGCATCACATGTGACAATGCAACAAACACTGATTCAGCTGAAGATCTCTGTACACATGCAGAATGCGTTATGAAGAGGAATACTTCGGGTTCAGCACAAGTTAAACTCAACTGAAAGCATTTGTAGAAAAATGCTGATTACCATATATATTTTCATTTATCCCTAATTTTTGTTTAAAAAAAGCAATGATGTGCTTATAATGGAAGTAAATGGGGACAGTTTTTGGAGTATTTAATCGCAGAAATGTGAAGCTTATGTTTCTAGATGTCTCCGCTAAAACGTGTGCATTATTTGAGCTGCAAAACTGCTTTTTTTTTAGTGTACTAGGTTTCTTGGCTTTGTGTTGTCATGGCGAAGACGTTGTTAATTTGGATACATCTTTACACAGAAGTGGCTATTAAGTGATTTTTTGTGACAGCAATGCTGCATTGTCAGCATCATTGCTCCAGTCTTCAGTGTCACATGATCCTTTCAGAAATCCTTTTAATATGTGGATTTGCTACTCAAGAAACATTTCTTATTATTATCAACATTGAAAACAGTTGTGCTGCTTAATGATTTTGTGGAAATCATGATGTGCTTTTTTCAGGATTTTTTGATGAATAGAAAGTTTTTCATTTAGAAATATTTTGTAACATTATACATGTTTTTACTGTCACTTTTAAAACGTTTAATGCATCCTTGGTGAGTAAAAGTATACATTTCTTTAAAAAACTCTTACTGACCCAGACTTTTAAAATTTCACTTCTATATCTGACTGTTTGCTGACCCTACCTTAGACCATTCACCGGTTTTCCACTCGTAACATTTGGATTGATCCTCACACATCTCCTCCTCTGTGGGACGAGACACGGGATCACAGAGACCCTGAGGATTGGTGCAGGTCACTGTCCGCTTTCTGCTGCCGCGACCACATTCCGAGGAACACTGGGACAAACGAAGACAAGGAGAATTCAGCGAGTCAGAGTATAACATGAGGAAAATAAGAGAGCAATTGGGTGCAAAGAAGGATGGAGATAAATTAAGACATAAGCAAGAGATGGGAAGAGTGCTGGTCATTAAAACAGACATCCTGTGGAGTCTCACTAACGCTTCTCTCCACTGACTGAATCCACTCTAATGAAGTGCTTACAATATCAACAACATGAAAATCTGAAATGAAATGCAGAGGCTGAAAAACGACCACAGTGCCCTCCATAGGCCAGGACAAAGCCCCACAGACACAAGCACATTTCAGGTGACCTCAGAAAACATTTAAGTCCAATGGTACAGGATGTGTCTCATAAAAGGGGCTTTATATGTGCTCATTCTAACATCATACAGAGCCATTCATACAGAATGTGTTTCTGAATTCTATAGCACAGCTTTTCTATTGTTATTCTAAGTAAACATGCGCTAGATGGACGTTTTTGACCATTGTGTTCCTGCCTCACATCTTTAGCTGCATTCTAAAAACGCAGCACACAAATGCTGAAAGAAACCAAGGCTAGCAGTGAATCCGGGTGATTCCTTTAATGAGACATGTTTTAACCAGAAATTCCGTCGTCTCAGACTAATATTGCAGGAGTACATGTAAAGGTAAGTACAAACATTTTCTCAATGTTTATAGTTAAAAAATTCTAAACACAAATTCAATATTTATACTGACATACTTGATAGAAAAAGGAAGAGCCATTTTAATGTTTTTTCCATTCACTGTAAAAAAAATATTCATAGCAACATTTACATTACTTCAACTCATAAAAATAATTTAAGCAATTTCAACTTTCTTTAATAAGTTATTTGAGATTCAACTTGATTTTTTGAAATATTTGTAAAAAATAAATAAAAATGGAGTTTTAAATTTAATATAATTTAAGTTGAAATGACTTGTACAGGCAATTTGCTTATACTTAATTTAAAGCAGCAACATGTGACGGCCATGCATAGTTGGGTGTTTTGCTGTGTGGTGTTGGGCAGTTCACTGTTTCCCTTTTGTCTTTGAAGGTATCAGCGCCAGATTGGGAGCACCTGCGCTAGATGCTGTGGGAAGATAAATACTCCGGCCCTTTGAATCTCTCGCTCTCTCTGATCTGGTCTCACTCCTGCCAGCAGCGCATCTTTGTTTCGTTGTTGATTATATTATGTTCTGTTACCTTTATTTTTCAACACTCAACTTTGCAATAGTCACTCATCCACATTTACACCACTGATGTCACTGACCAACACGCGCTACTTGCTGTTACTTATTAGTTTTATTGTTTAAGTTATTACAATAAATGTTTACTTTTAGCAATCTTTCGCGTCCTCTTTGAATTTGTCATGGCCTTTGAGCCGGGTTATGACAAACATAACTTAAGTTTGTGGAATTTTTTTGTGGAAAGTTGCTGTTTGCTGTTTTGAAACTTTGAACTTGAAACTGTGCTGAGTTTTATTTTTTCTTGGTAATTTGGTGTGTAGTTTTCATACTGTATGCTTTTCCCACCCTGTTTTATAAAGGGCCACCCACATTTCTGAACATTTCACCCACTTAAACATTTCTTTATAAGTGAAAGGGCCTCTTAAAATATGTTTAAACGGTAGATCAAATGTATTTCACAAAAGTAAGAGCACAATCCTGTTGTCCATGATGTGGTATTTAAATAATTTCTGCTGACTTAAGCTCAAACCTTGGACCATTCGGAGGCCTCCCACACGGTGAGGCAGTGGCGTCCCTCGCAGTGCTGTACGCCAGCTGGTTTGGAGCTGAGACAGTACAGGTCTCTGGTGGGAATGTATGTGCCATTTTGCAGCTGATACACGCAGCCAACTTCCCTCTGCTGCAAGCCTTTACCGCAGGTTACTGAACACTGCGTCCAAGCGCCAGTGACCCACCTGAGAGGGACAGAAAAGGTAGAGAAGACACTGATACACTGTCACTGATACAAGTACTTAAAGTCAATGTGTGAAGCCATTTGCAACCCTGTACAACCCTTTACACATTACTTCTGTAATGTGACGAATAATACCACCCACACCATACGCTACAATTTACCAACTCCTTTAATCAGGAAACATAATAAAATATAGATGTTTTAAGTATCAGTTTGCAGTATGACTGAATATAACAGATGATTATCTTTATTGTCACATAAGTGGTCATGAAATGAACTTGTGATTTATGTGCAGAAAATCTCAACAGATGAAAAAGAGAATAAAAACAGAGCTGTATTTATAAACTGCTTAAACGACACAATGAAAGATGACAGCGAGACATCTGGAAACCTACAGTAAGCTGTTCTGTCCAACACTCAATTAGATCTCATTCTTACAAGCACCAAAACCAATTTTGCAGTTATAGACAGAAAAAGAGGTGTGCAATTACTTTTCTAAGTGACACTTACATCTGGTGAACAATAAAAAAGGAGTGGGGGAAAAACGCCACATGTGCCATATCTAGAGATCAGAATGGACCAAGAAGCATCCACATAGCAACCACTGAGAATTTCTTTAAATATATTTTTACATGATTTAAATACTGAATTAAGATCCATTTACATCAAGAGCGATAACTATAACCATAACCCATAACTCGCAGTCCACAACAAAACTGTAACAATAGCGGCATAGAGGAATAATATTGTTGGAATCACTGTTTTTCCAGCTCATAAACAATAAAAATATTGAAATTTATACCCTGAAGCACGAGCTTAGAATAAACATAATATTATCGTCCGTTGGTGTGGATGCTTTTATAGTTATCGTTATATTTATCATTCTTGGTGTGAACAGGCCTGTACTGTTAGATCAAGAAAAATGTATAAATTAAGTTATAATTCTGTAAGCATGATATTTATCTCCTGTTCACTCAAGTGAACCAGCATTTTCTGCATTGAATTAACAACTTCACATCAATATTTTTCATTCCATCTCCTCTAAAGTGTGTAATGTGAGGCAAATTTGCCTCTTAAAAGAATCAGAGCAATCTGATTTTTATCACACATTATATTTCTATTTAATTATGACACTACTGCAAGCTAGCATGATCTGAAGTATGGGTAAAAAAAACAAACAATAATCTGCAATTGACATTTAAAAGATTCAATTGCATCAAAAGAAAAGGTCAAACTTGTAATAAACTGACCAGAGAGAGAGAGAGAGAGAGAGAGAGAGAGAGAGAGAGAGAGAGAGAGAGAGAGAGAGAGAGAGAGAGAGAGAGAGAGAGAGAGAGAGAGAGAGAGAGAGAGAGAGAGAGAGAGAGAGAGAGAGAGAGAGAGAGAGAGAGAGAGAGAGAGAGAGAGAGAGAGAGAGAGAGAGAAAAATATTGATTCTTGAGTTTAATGAGAGGATACGTATTCCCGGGACAAATGTATATCATTTGAAAAGCAGTACAGCTAATTGCCAAGAATCATTTCTCTGATGCATGTTCTTCCTCAAGGATCATTACTCAAGTTTTGTCACGGCTTTCATCTGTATAGAGATGACGGCAACAGAATAGGTTTCGTATTATGTTTGGAAGTCTTTTGTCCTGTGTGGATTTGTTGGGAACATTATCCACAATTTGTTTGTTGAATCCAGAAAAAGAGAGGAGAACCAGGCTCTGCTCCAAAACTCAGGCTCTTGTTTTGTGTAAGCTGACAGCACAAAAATGCACAGCTCACACACACATCAGGTAAAATGCTCTATTTTGGTGTAGCTGGTACCTGTATTGGCAGGGGTGGATGTTACACGAGCGGATTTGAGGTGAAGGTCTGTTCTGCACCTGACAGTAGCTGTCGTTTACTTGAGTCATGGTCTTGTTAACGATTTTCATGCACGACACCACAGTCCTTCTCTCTCCTGAAACAAAACAAAACATTTTCTTAGACATAAATTAAAAGTCACTCAGGGTTTACAATACAATTGTAAATTAATTTGAGTACTTATTTTTATTACGCATGTCTTGAAAATTAAAGAAATTTGATACAAGAGGCAATGTGTCAGTCATATATATAATAAAAACATCAATTATTTTAACAATAAATAACTGTAATAAAAACAACTGTAAATAGCTAATGTACCCACACTTATGACTGTACGTTTTACATAAATGCAACATTCAATTATAGTTCTAATAAAAACAACAATGCTTAATAAATAATTCGATTTAGTAAATTAATAATATATAAATAGTATTTAATATTATTAATAATATTTTAATATCTCGCACTGTAAACTAGCTTTAATAAATAATTTAAATAATGTTTAACAAATAAATGTATATAATTAAAATTTGCAATAACATTAATAATAGTATCTTTATTAATAACTCTCCACATTTACATTATTGCATTTGGCAGACACCTTTATCCAAAGTGACTTACATTGCACTGAAGATAAATGTGTTTTTTAGTTCATGCATTCAAAAAAATCGAACTCATGATCTTGGCTTTGCAGGTGTCATGCTCTACTGTTTGAACTACAGGAATGTGATTGTCACGACTGACTTAATCCAAAAGACCAGAACGATGCATGATGCAGAATGAACGTTAGATATTTTTAATAAACACCAAGAATAACCAAACACACTACACATTAACATTGACGAGACTGAACCATGAACAGAAATAACTGAGGGCTTAAATACACAGAACGAATGATCAACGGAACAAGAAACAGGTGCAGAACTCAATCAGAAACCATGACAACAAACTACGAACGAGAACTCAGGCAAAAGGTGACAGGGAAAACGATGCAAACTAAACTAAAAAGAACATGACAATGAAACTATGAACTAGACAAGACGTGAATGTGACGGTTATCTATTTTATATATTATATATTTAACTATTTATAACTAATAACTAATTATAACTTAATAAATAATTAAACAAACGTAATAGAAAATGCTTAATAAGCAATTACATTTTAAAATAACAATAAAATAAATAGTATGCACTAATAATATTTCTTAATAATATTATACACCGTACACTAGATCACATTCTACATTAATACTCCATCCAATCAGATTTTAGAGCCAGAACTGTCTATAGCAGTTGATTTAGATGTCATAAGCAACTGCTCAAACTTCCCTAAAAGAAAAAAACAAACATGGTTGTATAATAATAATTGTCTTTATGGCCGCTTTGAGACGCCTGCACGAGTTTACAAACAATCCACTAAGGATGTTAATGTTTGGATTGCGTCGAGGGCTCTGGCAAGCACTGCAGTAACTCTGTACTGGGGGTGTTTAACCACAACAGGAGAAACAGTGTTTTCTCTGGCACGTGTGAGCGCCTTCATACCATCTGATCCTGTCTGGTCCACTTTGACCTCCCAACCAGCCATGTCTGATTTCAGGTATTTGCAGAACAAAACATTTCAAATTAGAGATAACAATACAAAGTTATTCCTAGTGGTCATCTATGGAGTCGGGGGTGTTTGGTCAAGACCAAATTAGCAGCTGGGGGAAGCACCAACTCGGCACTGAATTTGCTCGGGACCTTTAATTTGCTGTGAATTCTTAATGTTGTTGTTACTTCAGAGGGTGGCGGCATGCCAGACTGTAGGATTAGCCATGTCATTAATTTTGTGTTGTTCTATGTTTGCCAAGAAAAACCACGAGCAGTCAGAAATCGAGATCATTAATTCCTCAGAGCAACGAGCGGAGAAGGGCAGCCTAAGAGAAAGAGAGACTAGTTCTGTTCCAAAAAGTGTGCTGCCCAGTACCTAGTCAGCATTTTAGGCATCATATGGGTGTCCCAGATGCAAAGCCTGTTCCTGTTGTAAGGCAGCATCACATGTCATGTATCATTCATGGATAAGTCAATCCCACAATGCATTGCAAAAAAAGTCACTGTGGAATGTCTTTTAACAATGAACAATGCTGATATAAAAATTGCAAACTAACAATTTTTATTCTTATTATTGAATCATGATTGATGGAAGCTTAGCAACATGCCAACCAAACTCTACTGAAAGATGGAGTCGAGTGGAACATTGACTACAAATAGGCCTATACTTACATTATACCATTCAAAAGTTTGGAGTCAATAAGATTTTTTTATTCAAATTTTTATTAAGCAAGAATGCATTATTGGTCAAAAGTGACAGTTGTCACGTTTTGAGTTTGGTCATGTTTTCTGTTCTGTTCATGTCTGTATAGGTTGTTTTTCTTGCTCTGTTAATTAGTCCTGTCATCCTCCGGTTCCCTGCCTGTTAGTCTCCTAGGTTACAAATGGTTTGATTTAGTTGTCACAGGTGTTTTAAATTTCTTTGATTGGATTGTTCTGTCTATTTAAGCCCTGTGTGTCGTTCAGGTCTATGTTTTGTTAAGTTGTTTGTTCTGTTCCTGATCTTGTTCCAGAGATTCTGTTTAGTGAAGATTTGAGTTTATTTCTAAATAAAGACTGCTGCACTTAGATCCTGTTTCGTCTCTTCAGGAACCAACGGTGACAACAGTAAAGCCATTAATGTTACAAAAGATTTCCATTTCAAATAAATGCTGTTCTTTTGAACTTTATATTCATCAAAGAATTCTGAAAAAAAGTATCAGTTTCAACAAAAATATTAAGCTGCCCAACTGTTTTCAATAATAAGAAATTATTCTTGTGCAGAAAATCAGCATATTAGAATGTATTCTGAAGGATCATGTGACACTGAAGACTGGAGTAATGATGCTTAAAATTCAGCTTTGCGTCACAGAAATAAATGAAATTTTTTTTTAAATATATTGAAATAGAAAATAGTTATTTTAAATTGTAATAATATTTCAAAATATTACTGTATTTTACTGTATTTTTGATCAAATAAATGCAGCCTTGGTAAGCGTACAAGACTTCTTTCAAAAACATTAAAAAAACCAACCCCAAACTTTTGAGCATTAGTGTATATTTCATTTAATAACAAAATGATAAACATGGTTGGTAACACTTTATAATAACTACACGCTAATAATCATTAGTTAAGCATGAGTAAACAGTTAATTCATCATTCATAAAGCATTAATAGACATTAATAAGCAGTTTATAAATACAGCTATAAATGCTTTCTTCTTGATTTACAAGCATATCTATAATTTATTTAATAATTGTATTTTCATCCTTTATTAATGATCAATTTATTATTTCTAAATGAATAATTGCATTTTTTATAAACCAGTTATTTAAGAGTTTTCAGTGGTTCATAAGATTACTTAGAACGTGTAAGTAAATGATTAATAAACTATTTAAATGTACATTCATTCATCTTATTATTCAGACATATAGTGATGGTTACTTAGTGTGTTAATAAATGCTTTATTAACATGTATTTATGCTGTAATTCAGGGTTAATTCGGGTAGTTATAAAGCATTTAGTAGTGGTCAGTTAACTATGTTTGTGAGCTCATCTAAAGTGAGGACTATTCATGCCTTGTAAAGCATTTATAAAGGAGATTTAAAGGCTGTTAAATATTTCTATGTTCTGTATCACTGTGTTGTGTTTGTTACATTTTACTGTTTAGAAGATTGATGCGCCTTCAAATCTCCTTTATAAATGCTTTACAAGGCCTGAATAGTCCTCACTTTAGATTAGCTCACAAAATAGTTAACTGACCACTACTAAATGCTTTATAACTACCTGTATTTACTACATTTACTTACACTTTCTAAGTGATCTTATGAACGACTGACAACTCTTGTTTGTAAATAATGCTATACTTCATTTAGAAATTATTAATTGATCATTAACAAAGTATGAAAATACAATTATTAAACGCATTATAGATATGCTTATAAATCAAGAAAAAAAGCATTTATAGCTGTATTTATAAACTGCTTATTAATGTCTATTAATGCTTTATAAATGATGAATTAACTGTTTACTCATGCTTAACAAATGATTAATAGCATGCAGTTATTATAAAGTGTTACCAAATGGTTAAATCTAATTAAAAATGTACTATTGTACATAGTGTGCTATGCATTTATAGCACCGTCAGCAACATGCAAATATAAAACTTGCACTTAGAAGGCAGTAAACCGATAAGAAACTCACAAAAAAAAAAAATCAATCGGTTTACTCCAGGCAGATTCAATATTTTAACATTTCTGTGCTTGTGTTCCTTCAGTTAGATTAGAAAAAATACCAGTTATTAACATTTTTTTTTGTTACTTCCCCCCCCCCCCCCCCCCCCCCCCCCCCTCCCCTCCCCTATACTTTATACCAGGGTTCCTCAAATCTGGTCCTAGAGGGCCACTGCCCTGCAGAGTTTATTTCTAACCCTAATCAAACACAATTAAACCAGCTAATCAGGGTCTTCAAAGTTACTAGAAAATTGCAGATAGGTGGTCAAACAGTGGCCCTCCAGGGCTGGATTTGAGGAGCTTGTGACTAAACTTCGTAACTCCAGTGGATCCTCAAACTGATCCCCAAAACCTCATATACCTCGTTTCCACCAAAAAAAGAACCGGTTCGGAACTGGTGATGGTTCAAAGTTGGTTCAACTCGCGAACCTTCTCATAACCTGTTTGTTTTTCCACTGACTAGAGAGCCAAGTGAACGACGTCGTTACGTCACTGTGTACGTCGCCATACGTCTTAGCTTTCCTATTCCCGTCGTGTTGTTGGTCACAATAACCCCGCCCCCAGCCCCCGACGTAAGCATGACGTGGTAAAAGAACGGTTTTAGTCCAGCAAAGAGTTGGTGCCGCTTTGGAACCAATTTTCCTGGCCGAGAACCGGTTCTTTGGGTGTCGAAACACAAAGAACTGGTTCGCGAGTAGGCACCGGCTCCGAACCGGCTTTTAAAATGCTTTGGTGGAAAAGGGGTAATAGAGTAGCTCCACCCGCCTCCATTTAGAATGAAGTGCTGCACACATTTTAGAAACGGTCTCTGGTTCTTTGCAGTCCAAGGGTAAATAAAGAACTGGTTGTTTGAATAAATAGTGTTTTCTTTACTAAAAAAAAAAACACAACGTTTGTAAAGGCTAGTGTTTTAAGTATTTGAGTAGAAAAGAGTCTTAGTCTGGTATTTCCCATCATAGCCAATACAGTCTGGGAATAGCACTTTTTGGCCAAATGTAAACGACAGGAAAAACTGAACGCCTACATAGCAACAATAAACATTGTAACCTGTAAGTTGATGAAAACATGATGCAGTGCACTTACTGCCTCAGATGCGGCCATTCTAATGTGTGACAAATCTTTGACATTCTCTGGTGATAAAACTTCATTTGAGCTTGGTTTTGGTCAATTGTTAATAATAATATAATGACACCTTCAAGTGTGTGACCATACATAAAGCTACAATACTAACTTTGACAACCACTTTACCTCCAAAAATCAGAGGGGGCTCATTAGTTTGAATGGGCATGACACTTCTGGTCTCACTCCTACAGCCCCTTAACAACGGTTTCCAAGGCAACACACTTTCACCCCAGTACAGTAGAGTGTCCTTAGTGTCTCCCATCTGTCTGTAAATTGGCCTCCTCTGAAAGAAAGGCTCACTAAACACTTTCAGATAACCTTTGACATGCACTGTTGAAGAGTTGTGATTTTCTGCATGAATGTGGGTAGATTATCATTGGCTATGTACTTATTGCCCCATATATATATATATATATATATATATATATATACACACTCACAAAATCCCTTTCCAGTTGAGAAAATCTCTTGGGGATCCTTGAAGACTTTGCTAATCAGGACTAAAACAGCAAGTAAAGACGACATCTAGTTATAAGTTATGAAGAGAGTTTTACCTCCTATTATTAAGGAACGATGTAGACCACAAAGCAACAACTATTTCATAAACGTGTCTAGAAGTTTCCAAAAATAGGTACAGCAAATCTCTTGTCAGCTTTTTCAGGCCAGAATCTGATTTCCAGCTTGTGTTGAAAACCTAAAGCTTTTCTATTCGTCACTGAGTACGAAATGCCCTTAAAAAACCCAAAGCAGCACACATTATTTAAAAGTAAAACATAAAAATTGCTTTAGAAACAGATCATCTCATATGTTATTGTGTGCAAATATAAATGCTGATACAACACTTCTCGCAGACAATGACACTTCTCGTTCAGCCCTTAGTAAGTAATAACCACATAAAAGAAACAAGCAGATCAACATTAAAATGGGATCCATTTTAGATGAGACTGCATGCCGGTCTGTTGTAGATAAATGTTCGTCTGCTATCAGTTTTGTGAATATAACCAGCAAAACTGTCATGCTCGGACAGGCTTAGAAAATGAGACTTCAGTGTCGGGTTATTTTATGCGTACAGAAGACATGTTTAGTCTCAAGTGAATAACACTTCCACCACATGTGACGACTTACACTGACAACATCTCTACAATGACTCTCTCTGCAAGTTTCATTCCTTTGCGAGTCAATTAGCACTAATATAATTTGTCTGAGATATCCCTCATTCTCTTTTCATAGCAGTAATTATTATTTTTGGGGCTTTAACCTGGTAGATATAATCACACAGCTGTGCTGACCATAACAGTCACACGGTATCGCAGAAAGACAGCTGGGCAGCAGGCGTATACGTTAACAGCTTAAGGCCAAGGCTGAAATGGAATTTCATGAAACCTTTAAGAGAATTGGAAACTTTCCTGGTCAGCTTCTAATACTCACGAGAATAACTGCAAAGAGTAATAAGAAATGAACCCCCCCAGAGGGATTGTGGGTAACAGCCGGCACTGACCTCCTCCGCAGTGCACGCTGCAGTCCTCCCAGCTGCTGTGAGTCCACAGGTGCATGTGCTCTGGCTCTTTTACCGAATCGCTGCTGTTCTCCTGCGAATGGTTCAGGGCAACCGTGTACTCATAGTGGATCCCGTACGTTTGATCGTGGAACAGCAGAACCTGGGAGAAAAATGAGATGAAGAGCATTCAGGCTGTTTACATTCAGTTTGGTCCAAGATAATACTTTTAATCAGCAAAGATGCTTTAAGTTGATGAAAAGTGATAGTAAATACATTTATAATATTACAAAAGGTTCCCGTTTCAAATAAATGCTGTTGAACTTTCTATTCATAAAATAAATCTGAAAAACCAAATGTATCAGTTACCACAAAGAATTAGGCAGCAAAACGTCTTTCTTCAGCAGCAAATCAGCATATTAGAATGACTTTTGAAGGATTATGTGACTGAAGACTAGAGTAATGATGCTGGAAATTCAGCTTTGCATCACAGGAATTTTAACCCTAAAAAGGAATTTGTCTCCTGCTCTGTGATTTTATGTGGCCTACCACTTCGTGGCTGAGTTGCTGTTGTTCCCAATTGCTTCCACTTTGTTATAATACCACTAACAGTTGACCGTGGAATATTTAGTAGTGAGGAAATTTCACAAATGGACTTATTGCTCAGGTGGCAACCTGTCACGGTACCACGCTTTAATTCACTGATCTCTTGACAGCGACCCATTCTTTCACAAATGTTCTTTGTAGCGAAGAAGAGCCGACTCCCGTCGGGGAGAGCCGAATCTTTATTTGGGGCAGGACTTTATTTGGATGGGCACACCATGCGGCCAATCACATGGTCAGACTAGGATCATACCATTATGTGAAAGGAAGGGGGACACACACTCCGAAGATTGCGAGTGTAGTGGTACAGGCCAGGTACACAGAGCGACAAAGAGAGGCGAGGGAGCCGGAATTAAATGCTTTGATTTGTTTGCTGTGGTTCTGTGTTCAATTAAAGTTTTATTAAAATGTTAAATAATAGTAACTGTGTATTTTTTTGTAACGAAGAAAATGCATTAAAAAATAAGGCTTTTATGAAAACACTGAATAGAAAATTGCTTACCAATACACAAATCATTCACAATTGCTAAATTGGGCTAAAATAGAAAGCTCCGAGTGATACTATAGCTAGGATGCAATTCATGAAAATTGGGCACTTCTGCAAAAGTTTTAGATTTTTGGCAGGGTGTTAGGTATAGGCCTCAAGTTTTCAAAAATCCATGGATACAAGTTGGGGTGTATCCATAAAATCCAAATTGGCCCCCGCCGAAAAGAGAAAAGGTTATATCTCAGCTTCCTTTAGTCTTAAATTGTTGTATAATGTATTTTTTCTACTTTGTTTGATACAAGGAATCCAATTCTGATATATTCTTCTCATTTTAAGTCCATTTCTATGTTAAATCTATTATCATAGTCATATTTAGCTCAAATAAACTGTCAATATCTCTGAAAAAGTCACACTGAAATATTATTCCGGCCTCTAGACCCATATTTTTACCTCCAATGTATGCTTTTCTTTGTTGATTGGACAGGACACTATCACTATAGTGTCAAAAATCACATGTTGTGACCAAAAGGACCATTGTTGAGGCTTTAAATGAACACAAATTCAGAACTATGCCACAGTGAAAAGTTATATTAGGCTTTTCACCATGTTAAGGATCAATATTACATTTTAGTCAAATAACACAAAAAAAAACAATACATAGTTATACATCATGTATTTTTTTTTTTTTTTAAATCACTCTTCATCATTATTAGTACAGCCGCCCTCACACTTGCACAAGCACTGCCCCTCTTCCACGCGTTCAAAGGATGTGACGTTGTATCAGCAATGTATGGAATTAGCAAAAAAAAAACTGCATGGAATGCGTGGGCAGCTTACCCAGAAGTCCCCGACACCCTCCTTGTGATCACCCAAGACCCAACCAGCCTCACACTGGAATTAGTGCACATGCGAGTCAATTTCTCATTAATACAATTATCTAATCAACCAATCACATGGCAGTTGCTTCAATGCATTTAGGGGTGTGGTCCTGGTCAAGACAATCTCCTGAACTCCAAACTGAATGTCAGAATGGGAAAGAAAGGTGATTTAAGCCATTTTGAGCGTGGCATGGTTGTTGGTGCCAGACAGGCCGGTCTGAGTATTTCACAATCTGCTCAGTTACTGGGATTTTCACGCACAACCATTTCTAGGGTTTACAAAGAATGGTGTGAAAAGGGAAAAACATCCAGTATGCGGCAGTCCTGTGGGCGAAAATGCCTTGTTGATGCTAGAGGTCAGGAGAATGGGCCGACTGATTCAAGCTGATAGAAGAGCAACTTTGACTGAAATAACCACTCGTTACAACCGAGGAACGCAGCAAAGCATTTGTGAAGCCACAACACGCACAACCTTGAGGCGGATGGGCTACAACAGCAGAAGACCCCACCGGGTACCACTCATCTCCACTACAAATAGGAAAAAGAGGCTACAATTTGCAAGAGCTCACCAAAATTGGACAGTTGAAGACTGGAAAATTGTGCCTGGTCTGATGAGTCTCGATTTCTGTTGAGACATTCAGATGGTAGAGTCAGAATTTGGCGTAAACAGAATGAGAACATGGATCCATCATGCCTTGTTACCACTGTGCAGGCTGGTGGTGGTGCTGTAATGGTGTGGGGGATGTTTTCTTGGCACACTTTAGGCCCCTTAGTGCCAATTGGGCATCGTTTAAATGCCACGGTCTACCTGAGCATTGTTTCTGACCATGTCCATCCCTTTATGGCCACCATGTAGCCATCCTCTGATGGCTACTTCCAGCAGGATAATGCACCATGTCACAAAGCTCGAATCATTTCAAATTGGTTTCTTGAACATGACAATGAGTTCACTGTATTAAAATGGCCCCCACAGTCACCAGATCTCAACCCAATAGAGCATCTTTGGGATGTGGTGGAACGGGAGCTTCGTGCCCTAGATCTCCATCAACTGCAAGATGCTATCCTATCAATATGGACCAACATTTCTAAAGAATGCTTTCAGCACCTTGTTGAATCAATGCCACGTAGAATTAAGGCAGTTCTGAAGGCGAAAGGGGTTCAAACACAGTATTAGTATGGTGTTCCTAATAATCTTTAGGTGAGTGTATAGTAAGAACTGCGGTGTCAAGTCAGTCAGTGAAGCCTGTAAGCTTCTTTTCACTAATGGCCTCAAGTCCCTGGATTCAATCCCCCCGACCCAGCATGCCTTATTCCAGCATGGAAAGCGTGCCCTGCACACTGCAGCTTTTGTCTGGAAGCAGTCCCTCTCCAAAACTCCAGAGATTCCAGACCCCAGTGAGTGGGGTTGGGAATGGAATGACAGAACCAACGTCTGGGTGCCATACTGGACAGATATTGAAGATGTCAGCAAGGGAAGCTCACTCCTCCTCAACTGTGGCTGTGTGGTTGCCTGTGAGGGCAACTGTAAGTGCCACCGAGCTGGACTTCGCTGTACCACATTGTGCAAGTGTGAGGGAGGCTGTACTAATAATGATGAAGAGTAAAACAATTTTTTTTTAATAAATGATGTTTAAAACATAAATTTTTAATGATGCTTAAGTATGTATTGTTTTTTTGTGTGTGTGTGTGTTATTTGACTAAAATGTAATATTGATCCTTAACATGGTAAAAAGCCTAATATAACTTTTCACTGTGGCATAGTTCTGAAGTTCTGTTCAATTAAAGCCTCAACAATGGTCCTTTTGTTCACAACATGTGTTTTTTGACACTATAGTTATAGTGACCTGTCCAATCAACAAAGAAAAGCATACCTTGGAGGTAAAAATATGGGTCTAGGGCTCTGAGTAATATTTCAATGTGACTTTTTCAGAGATATTGACAGTTTATTTGCGGTAAATATGACTATGATAATAGATTTAACATGGAAATGGACTTAAAATAAGAAGAATATATCAGAATTGGATTCATTGTATCAAACAAAGTAGAGAAAATTACATTATACAACAATTTAAGACTAAAGGAAGCGGAGATGTAACATTTTCTCTTTTCGGCGGGGGCCAATTTGGATTTTATGGATAACTGCCACTAGGGGGACCACCCCAACTTGTATCCATGGTTTTTTAAAAACCTTAGGCCCATACCTAACACCCTTCCAAAAATCAAAAACTTTTCCAGAAGTGCCCAATCTTCATGAATTTTCACGTATTCTTTCCCAGCTACTACATGAAGAGCCATTTGGGAGCCATAAGAGCCGGCTCTTCTAAGGTAGCCGAGCCAAAAGAGACGAATCTTTGAAAAGAGCCAGACTTCCCATCACTAATGCCTAGGTGCTTGATTTTATACAACTGTGGCCATGGAAGTGATTGGAACACCTGAATTCAATTATTTGGAGGGGTGTCCCAATACTTTTGGCAATATAGTGTATGTGGCCGGTTGCATAAACTGCTTAGACTAGTCTTACAAGGTTGTCAATTTTTTTCTTCAAGATGGGTAACTTGTTAAATTCAGTTAAATGAAATAAAAAGATAGATTAGTCTAATTTGAATCTGAAAAGTAAGACTGATTATCCCTTGGTTAACTGCTAGTTGGTCCGACTAGTTATTACGACAAAATCTTAAAGGAATAGTTCACTTAAAAATTAAAACTCTGTCATCATTTACTCACCCTCAAGTTGTTTTAAACCATTTTTAAGTGAACTATTCAATTAACATAGTTTATGCAATTGGCCCATGAACCCCACAAACCACCTTCAAGATCAAATGGAAAAACAACTGCTGTTAATTAAAACCATTATAAGGTGTCAGCGTACTCTTGGCCAAATAGTACATCTCCAGAGGTCTGTGAACAAGCGCAAGGTCTGATTTTAAATGGCTACCAAAATGCCATGAGGAAAGAGAGATCACTTCCATTCATTCCCATAATCATTTCCAGGGACAAGGACTAGACTCTGGCCTCCAGCACACCCTTTACTTTATCACAAGATCCATCTCATGGCCATTTTCCTCACTTACTGTGCAGACAGTGGAGGTTATCAGCCTCTCAAACAGAGCCGTCTTCCCATCAGCCTGAGGCTAATGACATGAATGAAACTACACACAAAAGAACACATCCAAACAGGTAGGAGTACATTTAAAA